ATATCAAGTTAATAAATTCTTACATTAAATCATAATACATTTTCGAAACAATAACATTTACATTTTTATGTAAAAAAAAATGTCTAAAAACATCCCTAACCATCCATATCAACAAAAAATAAATTCTTTATAGACTCAATTTGTAAGGAAAACTAATATGGTTTTTTTTATTATATTTAAGAAACTCCTGTAAAAATAATATAATATATATTATTAGTTTAATTATAAAGGCTCATAAAAATATATGTGTATTTAAGAAAAATATTTAAGTTAAATTACAAGCCAAATGCAAATGAACCTTTTACATCTTTTGAGTTTTGAGAAACTCGAACTACTTTATTTAACATGAGTTAGTATGAAATTGTATTTGTATATGTATTACTTGCCTTATTCATCTACATTTCTATAGTTTACATATGCTCCAGAGACCAAATCTAAATTGCAGTTTATCAATATGATTGTGATTTTGTATACTATGTAAATGTTGTTTTTATTTATATGAACAATAATTATTTTTACAGATTTGTAAGAGCTTGGAACATTGAGTGTTGTTTTGTATTTGAGATTGCTAATGAAATAGAAACACTACACGAACACAATTGAAAAAAAAAATCCAAATTAATTGGAACAATAATCAGGTGCTTCAGTTGTACTCATATGTTTGCTAAGTTATTTATTTTTTATTTAAAATAATTTTTAAATATATGTGATTCCCAAGATTAAAACCCTGGTAACTCTTTCTGATTACAGACCTATTGCTCTGTGTAATGTTTTCTACAAAATCATATCCAAGATCCTTGTCACGCGACTAAAAAGCTACTTAGCTAAAATAGTGTCTGAAACACAAGCTGTTTTTGTCCCGGGCCGTCTTATCTCTGACAATGTTTTAGTTGCTCATGAACTTATGCACTCCCTTAAAAGTCGAAAGAGAGTCTCTCAAACATATATGGAAATTAAAACTGATATGTCTAAAGCGTATGACCGAGTCGAATGGGATTTCCTGGAAGAAACTATGAAAGCACTTGGTTTTAACAACAGATGGGTTGGTTGGGTTATGGCAACCGTACGTTCTGTTAGTTACTCGGTTCTCATTAATGGAAACCCCCAAGGTTATATTACTCCACAACAAGGTTTACGGAAAGGCGATCCTCTCTCTCCTTACCTATTCATACTATACGCTGATGTTATGAGTCACCTCTTAGATCAACAGAGTAGACGTGCAAAGCTTAATGGCATTAAAATAGGAAACGGCGTGCCAAGAATAACACATTTCTTTTTCGCTGATGACTCTCTTTTCTTTTGTCAAGCAAATGAAAAGAATTGCACTGCTATCCGTGAGGTGTTCAATCTCTACAAAAAATGCTCAGGGCAGAAGATCAACCAAGATAAATTTATGATAACTTTTGGTTCTCGTATCCCTGGACAGAAACAAGAACGACTGAAGCGGATCCTAGGTATCATAAACAATGGTGGTGGTGGGAAATATCTAGGTCTTCCCGAACAGTTTGGACGTAAAGAGAAGGAAATGTTTGCCAATATAATTAATCGTGTTAAACAGAAAACATCCTCATGGAGTTCCAAATTATTATCCCATGCAGGGAAAGAAGTCTTAATGAAATCTGTCGCTCTTACAATGCCAGTATATTCTATGTCTTGCTTTAAACTCCCAGCTCAAGTAACGACTGAACTTGATCGTGTTCTCACCCGCTTTTGGTGGGCCAAAAATCCTGACTCAAAAAGCATCCCATAGGTGGCTTGGAAGCGCCTACAATATTCAAAACAAGAAGGAGGATTGGCCTTTAAAGATTTAACTAAATTTAATGACGCTCTGCTTGTCAAACAAGCTTGGCGACTACTTCAACAGCTTCACTGTTTATTTTCAAGACTATACAAGGCAAGATACTTTCCGGATGATCATCTGTTTAATGCCAAAAATAAGCAAGACCAATCGTACGGCTGGGCTTCTATCTTATGTGGTCTCGACCTTATTAAAAAAGGATCACGGCGAATCATAGGAAACGGTGCTGACACTAAAATGTTTTTAGATAATTGGCTTCTCGTTCACCCCCCTCGACCAGCTGCTCCTACTTATGATATGAGTACTGCTCTTCTGGTAAAGGATTTAATCAATAAATATGGTGACCGCCAGCAGTGGAATGACTCTATTATGTCTACCACTCTAAATATGACAGATTGTGCATTAGCAAAAACTATATATTTGGGTCAATGTAACAGACCAGATAGCATTTGCTGGAACTATACAAAGAACGGTCAGTACTCAGTGAGATCAGGCTACCGATTCTTACGTCATCTTCCTCAACACCAAATAAACGCACCTGCAATCCTGCATGGTGACCCGTTGCTTAAATTACAAATATAGAAATTACCCATTATGCCTAAGTTAAAACACTTCCTCTGGAAAATTCTATCTAAAGCTATTGGCACTACTACACGTCTTCGGAGCCATGGTGTATTATTAGATGAAATAATGTGGACTAGAGCCTGAAACTATACAGCACTTATTCTTCACATGCCCGATTTCATTATCTACTTGGCGTGTATCAAATACACCTTTTAATTTCATTACCATCCCAACTAATGACATTGATACAATATTCAACCATATCCTTGCTGCTCAAAATATAGATTCCATACTCCATACATATAGACTTTTACCTTTCTGGCTTCTCTGGTGGATCTGGAAATCACGCAATAACTATATTTTCAAAAAAGAAAAGCTTAAAATTGCTAAAGATGTGAACAAAGCCCGAGCAGAGGTTACTGATTGGATAAGAGCTACTACCGCTACCCTGAATGATTTGGCTACTCCACCACCATGCACTTCTACATCAGTGGCAATGTCTTTGACACGACCACCACCATTAACTTTTAAATACAACTACGATGCAACATATAACGTACAAACTCAACATGCTACAGCGGGATGGATTATTCGTGATTGTCACGGGCACCATATCGCATATGGCTCTACAACTATAGGACCAGCAATATCCAGTTTTGAAGCAGAAGGAAAAGCCTTACTGTTTGCATTATTCCATGCATGGTGGCTTCGACTAGATAACATCTGTTTTGAAGGATACTGCCAAATTTTAACTAAATTAGTACATGACGAACTTCAAGACATCACTGTTCTTCATCTTATCTACCATATTCAACATTGGCTATCTAAATTTTCGAGTGCTTCCCTAAATCATGTCAAACGTGTTTGTAACATAGCTGCTCATAATATAGCTAAACATGCACCCCCTTATCTTGTAATTTTTAATACTACCTATTATCCACCTCCTTGGATGACAGACATTTTGTATTTGGATCTTCTAAATTCTTGATAATAAATATGTTTTCGACAAAAAAAAAAAATTTATAATTGTTCAGTTCAATTATATATTTAATACTGTTAAAAAAATAATTTTAATAATATTTTGAAAGTTAGTGAACAACAGTGAGTTTATATACAAATATTAAGTTTTAGATTAACAGTTAATTTTCACATATATCAAGTAGGTAAATTCTTAAATTAAATCATAATATATTTTTCGAATGCGTTAAATTTTTTTTGATGTATATCCATATCAAAACAATATTAAAAAATCAAATATTATATTTAAAATTTTAATTTGAAGTTAAAATAATTTAACATAAATAATAATCAAATATCTATATAAAAATAATCCGCTCGTACCGCGGAAACATCCCTAGTAAAAGATAAAAAGAACTCACTAAAGCGAATGTGATTAAACTCTTCTAATTCCAATACGAGATTCAACAATTCCTCATCTCAATTGATTAGCTTAAGTTCTTAACAAGCTGACAACAATTATAATATCCGTCTCGAAAAATATCATATTATATCAATTAATAATATAGAGGAAATGTTTCAAAATAACTCATTAATATATCATATAAAATATAAAATATTAATTTAATTTTAATACATACATGGAATTTACCACTATTGAATGAATTTTATTCAACCAACTGCTTTCATTAAAATTAAATTGGGTTCGGTACAACCAGGCCCAAAGCTTGTTTTGCTAACTTATGGACTTAGGAGAGGTTCACTCTTTCGACATAGTTGAAAGACACAACATTAAAAGAACGACAAAGAGAAACAACATCCGAGACTATACCATGCAAATCCATTCAGAGTATGTCTATAAACAGATTTTATAGGCTATATTTGCTGGTCAATAACTGGCAATATCGTCACTGTTGTGAGAAACGCAGTCAACTGAATACGACATTTTGGAAGGTAGTGGTGTTGTCTACAGCAAAAACAGAGTTTATGGCATTATCAGAATGAGTTATAGAAGTTTTGTGGTTGAAAGGCATATGTGAAAAGATGGGGTTTAAACATAATGCAATAGAGGTAAATTGTGTCTCTGAAAGTGTCTCCTATTATTAGTTTCTCTTTTTGGCTGTCTGATAAAGAAGATACAATTTACCTTGCTCTCAGCACTAACTCGTGCGACAGACGAACCTACTATCAGACTTAGTACCACAAGAACGGATGATCTAAAATTTAGCACACCAAGAAAAAACGAGTGTTTCATTTTCCAATCTACATAAGCATTTTATATAGATGTCTCATTCCAAGAATGTTTTACACTTCTTGGAATGGTTTCCTTGTCTTAGTTTCCGATATTCTTTATTCACACAGAAAACTACAGAATGTGTTTTAAAATCTGTATACAAGGTCAACTAAATTCTAGTTTATAGGAAAGGTTCAAAGTCAACACAGTCAACAAGATTCGACAGAGATTACCAGCAAATAAAGCCACCGTGACTACTCCTATGAGATGATAAAATTATAAATAAAATGTGGCATTGCACTACTTGATCACTCAAGAGTGAAGAGTGAAGTCGCGTGGAATACGTTCCAGGCGGTTGCTTAAAACTCATCATCATTAAGTTTATTATTAACACTAAACACTGTTTCTTTATTTAGTTATACATTTATTCAGCGAAAACAAGAACCATCAGTTCTCATCGTTGTAGTTTTGCAGAATCTGTGTTCTCACAGAAACATGAATAGCGACGTTACGCACAGAGTCTGTCCAAATCAAGCTACCAAAATAGAACCCAGTGTTGATTTTGTGTGTGGTCGAGACTCGAACCCTGAAAGAGAAACTTTTGGTTTTGGAGTTGAACATAAGTGTCTCCGGCGTCACAACCACTCGAACCCCAAGCGGAGGTTCGAACACGACTTTGTAGACCGAATCAACCGGTCCAACGTTAGTGACGGTTCTGGTGAGACTGACTTCATCTTTGAGGTTTGGAATGGTGATCGAAGGCAAATTGACATCAAGAACAGAAGGTTTTGGGTTCGAACAGACTGTTACTTTACCAACAAGCTGAGAGATAGATGAGTCGTTGTAACCAGCGGAACATAAGTAGAGAACGTAGTCTTGTGGGCCCATGTCGTATACGAGACCTGGATCTCCAGCTTTCTCAGGGTTCACGAGGCCTCCACCGTAATCAAAAGGATCAGCTACTTTACGAGATGACCTGTAGCATCCGTATACGAGAAAATGTGGAATGATCGTACCGGACAGGACATTGTCCGAGGGATGACCGAACAGGGTCGGATACTGGCTGGGAAATAGAGGTTTGGACTATGGTCGGGTGTTGACCGGTGAAATAGTCGGATATGGGCTGGATAGCCGAGCCGGATGGACCATATCCGAGGGAAAACAGGGTCCAGTCCGAGGGAAATGGGATTTTATCCGAGTGCAGTGGGATATATCCGAGAGTCTGAGAGGTTAGTCCGAGTGTCAGTGGACTGTCTCCGAGGGGGAATAGGAAACCTCCGAGAGAAATAGAGGATTAGCCGAGGTGGGACAAGTTGTCCGAGAGGAAAAAGAATATCCGGGTGAAAAATAGAAAACACTTCGGATAAGGGCGGTTTATCCGAGTGGGAAGGGATTTGGGCCGTGGGCCAAGTGTTTGGTCGGCTATTTTGGGGTTTATCGAAGGAATGGTCGAGCCGGTACAGGAAATAGCCGAGAGAATCGAATCGGACCGGGATAAAACTTACTGGAACCGGGAAAACGTCGGATAAGTCCGGGTTACCTAAGGTTTTGTGAGTATTTAAGGGATTTTGAGACTTTTCTCGAGAGAGTTGTATTTATTCGAGAGCAATAAAGCAAAGAAAGAGAATAGTCGAGAGAAAACCCTAAGAAAAACAGTTTATCCCGAGGATATCTGAGAGAGATCAAGCTATCGCCGAGCAGAACCGACCATCGCCGAGATAAACTGGTAAGCGATCGGATATTTCCCTAAGTGTTGAGTTTTCATCGGATAACCTCGAGCTAATAGCCTTGTTTTGTAGGGTTTCTGAGGGAAAACAGAGTTTGGCTCGAAGAAAGGTGAACGGATCAAGAGATAGCCGAGGGGATAAGGATCGGATCGTACCGTGAGCCGAGAGATTCTTAGGGAGATCGGATATCTTCGTTTTGGTATAGTTTTCATCGGGATTTCTTCTGACCAATCTGTTTCTAGCCTTGTCTAAGGTGAGTGCGTGACTGTGGTTGGGTCTAGGACCGTAGGATTGCTAGGGTTGAGTGTTTTGCATGTTGATTGTATGATTTTCATGTTATGTGTTTGGAATTGATAATCAATCCTTATGTTGTGGGATATTGTGGTGTTTACCATGGCATAGATGGTATTTAGCTAACCTCAGGGTAATCCGGATCATGTACTAGCTTAGGGGATGTGGGATTCTCGCTGAAGTAGACATGAGTCTTAAAAAGGGGTTGATCTTGGTTGGCTAGGCTAGATGATCATGGCCGTTTTATATTGTCATGTCTATTGTGAATTAATCGTGTTGAATATTGAATCCGAAAGTATAACTGCGTGTTTTGGTACTGACCAGGTGTTACGGGATGACCGTACTCACTAAGTATTTATGAAATACTTATGCCTTTCATTTTGAGTGTGCAAGTACTAAGCAGTAAGGGGCGAGACCAGACGGCAGTGATGGATATGGATGGATCGGGACTTGGTTTTATTTGTGTTAAGACTTGTGTTTAGAGTCTTATTGGCTTGGTGTTTGACCGTTTAGGTTGCTAGATGATTGGTTGTAATCGTTAGTGAACCTTGTGATTTGATTTATGTGGAACCCCGAATCTGTTTAAGTGTTTTTGAGAGTTAAATGAATGAAATGAGTTATTTATATTCCGCTGTGTATTGATAAAAAAGATTTAGAAAAATAAAGAAAAAGTTCGAAAATATGGCTAAGTATAGAAACGGACTTAGAGGATGTAGTGGGACACAGCCGCGGTACGGTTTACCGGGTTAGGTTACCACAAGTTGGTATCAGAGCGTTTTAACGCTTCTAGGACTGAAATTGGTGACTGCTGTTGTTTGTTTGTTTGTTTGGGGTTTATGGGGGTCCGATCCATTCTTCACTGCCAAGGTCTCGCGGTAAGTTGTTGTGTGGTGTTGTGAAACATGTTTTGAGTTAACTTCGGCTAACTGGCATTGTGTACTTGCAGATGGTTGATACCAGAAGAACCGTGAGAATCAATGGGGACAACCAGGCTGCGGGGTCTGTGAACTCAGTTAACGGTGATGTTGCTGAGAGGGCTAGGGAAGCCGAGAGACAGGCAGCTGCGGTTGCGAATGAGGCGGCTAGGGTGGCAGCCGTGGAAGCAGCAAGGAATGCTGCGGATGCTGAGAATGTGGCTAGGAATGCTGCGGATGCAGCTGGGGATGCTGCGAATGTAGCACCAGTGGGGTTAGAGGCTGTGCTTGGGATGTTAGCACAGGTACTAGCTAGGCTACCTGCGGTGGCTCCTGCTCTGGCGGTTGCAGCAGCACCACAAGTAGTACCACCGGTGGGGGTTCACGCGGATATGGTTGAGGAGGAAGCAGACCAAGTGGAGAGGGTTCCGAGTTACCTCAAGGTTTTGGATCACATGGTGCGGTTGGGAACCAAGTTCTTTGCTGCAGGTTCTACACCGATTGAGGCAGATGAGTGGAGGATGAGACTGGAACGGAATTTTGAGTCTATCCGATGTCCAGAGGGTTACAAGAGAGACATTGCCGTGCACTACTTGGAGGGTGATGCACACACGTGGTGGAAAGGAATCGTTGGAAGGCTGGTGAATGCGAATTGTTCTTATGAGACATTTTCAGCGATGTTCCGGAGTAAGTACTTCCTACAGAAAGCTTACAACGAGTTGGAGAAGGCGTTTCTGTACCTTAGTCAGGGGACGCTTACAGTGAGGCAGTATGAGACTCAGTTTAATCAGCTGAGGAAGTATGTGTCTCATGAGTTTGACACGGAGGAGAAGCTGATTCGCAGGTTTATGAGTGGACTGCGAGTTGAGCTAAGGAATGGGTGTGTGGTTCGTGACTTCAGGACAGTTGCTGAGCTTGTTGAGAAGGCGGCATTGTTGGAGTCAGGACAGGCGGAAGCTGCGTTGATGTCAGCTGGGGCTAGTACAGCCGTGACCAAGGCGGGTCAGTCTAGTGGGCAGAACCGGAAGTTTGGGAAAGGAGTACCGAACAAAGGATCTGGGGGACGCAGCGTGTGCAGCAAGTGTGGCAAGGCTCACGTTGGCGAGTGTAGGCGCGGTGGTAGTGGATGCCACAGGTGCGGGAGTTTAGAGCAACGGGTACGAGACTGTCCGGAGGAGGATCAGCGTGTGGTCCGTGTGTCCGGCAGTGATGGTGCGGTTCGGGTTTGCTACGGTTGTGGAGAACCAGGACATTTCAAGCGTGAGTGTCCTAAGGCAGGAGTGGTGGAGGAGGCCGTGGCTCAAGGTAAGAGAGCAGGGGAGGCGCTTGCATCACAGGCCAAGAGACAGGCCATTATGCCGAGGGTGTACACGACGAGTGCAGCAGCAGCCGAGGAACCGAGCACTTCTCATCCGATTACTGGTATGTGTGGTACTTAGTATTTTCTAAACTTGCCTTGTGTGTCGTTGTGTGTTAGTATAGAGTCTTAGCATTCTAGGGAATAAATGTGTAGGGACCTTGCTAATGGGTGAGGTTGAAACCCATGTTCTGTTTGACTCGGGAGCGAGTCATTGTTTTGTTAATCCGGACATGATCGGAAAGGGACAGTTCCGGAAGGAACCCGGAGAGGACTTTGGGTTAGTTCAGGCGGCTGGAGGCCAAGTGATGTTTTCACTAGGAACGGTTAAGAATGTTCCAGTGATGTTTGGCGAAGTGAACATGCCAGCGGATCTAGTGATCTGTAGGGTTAAGTCCTACGATGTCATTTTGGGAATGGACTTGTTAGGCAAGCACAAAGCTCACTTGGATTGTCACCGTGGAAGGGTGCGGTTTGAGAGAGACGGAGAGGTCTTGGTTTATCAGGGAGTTAGACCAAGATCAGGAAGTTTGGTGGTTTCAGCTATTCAGGCAGAACGGCTGATAGAGAAAGGTTGTGAGGCGTATCTAACAACAATCACTACTACAGAAGGAGGGCCGGATGTAGACTTAGGCAGTATACCGGTGGTGCAAAAATTTGAGGATGTTTTTCAGGCGTTGGCAGGACTGCCACCAGCTCGTTCAGATCCATTCACGATTGAACTTGAGCCGGGGACAGCTCCATTGTCTAAAGCACCATACCGGATGGCGCCAGCAGAGATGGCTGAACTGAAGAAGAAGCTAACGGAGTTGTTGGACAAAGGCTTCATTAGACCTAGTAGTTCACCGTGGGGAGCACCAGTGTTGTTCGTGAAGAAGAAGGATGGGAGCTTCAGGCTTTGCATTGACTACCGCGGATTGAACCGTGTGACCGTGAAGAACAAGTATCCACTTCCCAGGATAGACGAGTTGTTGGACCAACTCAGGGGAGCTACTTGGTTCTCTAAGATCGATTTGGCATCAGGGTACTATCAAATACCCATAGAGGAGACAGACGTGCGTAAGACTGCCTTTAGAACAAGGTATGGTCATTACGAGTTTGTGGTCATGCCATTTGGTTTGACGAATGCGCCAGCTGCATTCATGAAGTTGATGAATGGCGTATTCAGAGAGTACCTAGATGAGTTTGTGATTATTTTCATTGATGATATTCTAGTATACTCTAAGGATGAGGAAGAGCATAAGAGTCATTTGCGGACTGTTCTGGAGAAGTTGAGGGAACATAAGTTATATGCCAAGCTCAGTAAGTGTAGCTTTTGGCAACAGCATATAGGGTTCTTGGGTCACATTGTTTCGGATAAGGGAGTGTCCGTGGACCCAAAGAAGATTCAGGCTATTGCGGATTGGCCTAGACCAGAAAATGCTACAGAGATAAGGAGTTTTCTCGGACTAGCTGGTTACCACAGGCGGTTTGTCAAAGGTTTTGCAAGCATGGCTCAGCCAATGAAAAAGTTGACTGGTAAAGACGTGGAGTATGTCTGGACAGATGAGTGTGAAGAGTGCTTCTCAAAGTTAAAGGAGCTACTCACTAGTGCACCAGTATTGGCGTTACCAGAACCGGGTGAGCCATACGTGGTATACACGGATGCATCCAGGAAAGGACTAGGTTGTGTTCTGATGCAGAATGGTAAGGTAATAGCTTATGCTTCGCGGCAGCTACGGAAGCATGAAGGAAACTACCCTACGCATGATTTAGAGATGGCGGCTGTGGTATTTGCACTTAAGATATGGAGATCTTACTTGTATGGCGAGAAGGTGCATATATACACGGACCATAAGAGTTTAAAGTACATCTTTACTCAACCGGATTTGAACTTGAGACAGCGTAGATGGATGGAGTTGGTAGCGGACTATGACTTGGAAATAGCATACCATCCAGGAAAGGCCAACTTGGTGGCGGATGCGTTGAGTAGGAGAAGGGCTAGCGTATCATCTGAACAGAATGTTGGAAGCATTGTGAACATGCTAAGGACATTGCATTTGAATGCAATAACGGATGGGGTTGAACCGTTGGCTTTGAAAGCTGCGGATAGAGCTGACTTGTTGACTAGAATTCGGATTGCTCAGGAGCAGGATGAGAATCTGAAAAAGGTGTCACAGAATGATAAGACAGAATATCAGACTTCAAACAATGGGACCATTGTTGTGAACGGACGGGTCTGTGTTCCAGATGTGAAGGAGTTAAGGGATGAGATCCTTAAGGAGGCACATCAGTCAAGGTTTTCTGTTCATCTGGGAATGACCAAGATGTATCAGGATTTGAAACGGTACTATCATTGGGTTGGGATAAAACGTGATGTGGCTAAGTGGGTAGCCGGATGTGAGACGTGCCAATTGGTTAAGGCAGAGCATCAGTTTCCAAGTGTTTTGTTGCAAACGTTGCCAATGTCAGAATGGAAATGGGACATGATCACCATGGACTTTGTATTGGGATTACCGAAGACTAGGAAGTTGCATGACGGGATATGGGTCATTGTGGATCGTTTGACCAAGTCTGCTCACTTCTTAGCAATGAAAAAGACTGATGGAGTACCAAAGTTGGTGGACATGTATATTGATCAGATCGTGAAGTTGCATGGAGTGCCAGTAAGTATCATTTCAGATCGTGATCCGAAGTTTACTTCGAGGTTCTGGAAAGAGTTCCAGGAAGCGTGTGGAATGCGGTTGCATATGAGTACAGCGTATCATCCTCAGACTGATGGGCAATCAGAACGGACGATCAGGACATTGGAGGATATGTTGAGAGCGTGTGTACTGGACTGGGGTGGTAGTTGGGAAGACTACTTACCGTTGGCTGAATTTGCATACAACAATAGTTACCAAAGGAGCATAGGGATGTCTCCGTATGAGGCGTTGTATGGCAGGCCGTGCAGGACACCATTGTGTTGGACACAAGTGGGGGAGCGTAGTGTAATGGGGCCAGCAGTGGTCGAGGCTACTACAGAAAAGATCAGATTGTTAAAGGTTAAGCTGAAAGAGGCTATGGACAGGCAGAAAAGTTATGCGGACAAGCATCGCAGGGATCTAGAGTTCAGTGTGGGTGATATGGTTTATCTTAAGGCACTGACTTATAAGAGAACGGATAGGGCAGCTAAGAGTGCCAAGTTAAATCCGAGGTACATGGGGCCGTACCGGATACTGGAAAGAGTTGGCGCAGTGGCTTACAAGTTGGACTTGCCATCGGAAATGGGAGCGTTCCACAATGTATTCCATGTGTCGCAGCTGAGGAAGCACATTACCAAACGGGAAACGGTTATAGAGGAGCCGCCAGCAGACTTGCAAGAGGACCTTGCAGTAGTGGCTAGGCCGGTTCGAGTGTTAGATCGGAAAGAAGAGACTAAGCGTGTGAAGCTGGTCAGAATGGTTCAGGTCGTATGGGACTGCGACGGGCATGAACAGGTTACTTGGAAAAGGAGGGCTAGGATGAAAGCTGAGTATCCCAAATGGTTTGACAAGTTGCAAACGGATGAGTCGGATTCGAGGACGAATCCAGAACGGGTGGGGGAGAGTTGTAGCATCCGTATCCGAGAAAATGTGGAATGATCGTACCGGACAGGGCATTGTCCAAGGGATGACCGAGCCAAGGGTCGGATACTGGCTGGGAAATGGAGGTTCGGACTATGGTCGGGTGTTGACCGGTGAAATAGTCGGATGTGGGCTGGATAGCCGAGCCGGATGGACCATATCCGAGGGAAAACAGGGTCCAGTCCGAGGGAAATGGGATTTTATCCGAGTGCAGTGGGATATATCCGAGAGTCTGGGAGGTTAGTCCGAGTGTCTGTGGACTGTCTCCGAGGGGGAATAGGAAACCTCCGAGAGAAATAGAGGATTAGCCGAGGTGGGACAAGTTGTCTAAGAGGAAAAGGAATATCCGGGTGAAAAATGGAAAACACCTTGGATAAGGGCGGTTTATCCGAGTGGGAAGGGATTTGGGCTGTGGGCCAAGTGTTTGGTCGGCTATTTTGGGGTTTATCGAAGGAATGGTCGAGCCGGTACAGGAAATAGCCGAGAGAATCGAATCGGACCGGGATAAAACTTACTGGAACCGGGAAAACGTCGGATAAGTCCGGGTTACCTAGGGTTTTGCGAGTATTTAAGGGATTTTGAGACTTTTCTCGGGAGAGTTGTGTTTATTTGAGAGCAATAAAGCAAAGAAAGAGAATAGTCGAGAGAAAAACCTAAGAAAAACAGTTTATCCCGAGGATATCCGAGAGAGATCAGGCTATCGCCGAGCAGAACCGACCATCGCCGAGATAAACTGGTAAGCAATCGGATATTTCCCTAAGTGTTGAGTTTTCATCGGATAACCTCGAGCTAATAGCCTTGTTTTGTGGGGTTTCTGAGGGAAAACAGAGTTTGGCTCGAAGAAAGGTGAACGGATCAAGAGATAGCCGAGGGGATAAGGATCGGATCGTACCGTGAGCCGAGAGATTCTTAGGGAGATCGGATATCTTCGTTTTGGTGTGGTTTTCATCGGGATTTCTTCTGACCAATCTGTTTCTAGCCTTGTCTAAGGTGAGTGCGTGACTGTGGTTGGGTCTAGGACCGTAGGATTGCTAGGGTTGAGTGTTTTGCATGTTGATTGTATGATTTTCATGTTATGTGTTTGGAATTGATAAGCAATCCTTATGTTATGGGATATTGTGGTGTTTACCGTGACATAGATGGTATTTACCTAACCTCAGGGTAATCCGGATAATGTACTAGCTTAGGGGATGTGGGATTCTCGCTGAAGTAGACATGAGTCTTAAAAAGAGGTTGATCTTGGTTGGTTAGGCTAGATGATCATGGCCGTTTGATATTGTTATGTCTATTGTGAATTGATCGTGTTGAATGTTGAATCCGAAAGTATGACTGCGTGTTTTGGTACTGACCAGGTGTTACGGGATGACCGTACTCACTAAGTATTTATGAAATACTTATGTCTCTTATTTTGAGTGTGCAGGTACTAAGCAGTAAGGGGCGAGACCAGGCAGCAGTGATGGATATGGATGGATCGGGACTTGGTTTTATTTGTGTTAAGACTTGTGTTTAGAGTCTTATGGCCTTGGTGTTTGACCGTTTAGGTTGCTAGATGATTGGTTGTAATCGTTAGTGAACCTTGTGATTTGATTTATGTGGAACCCCGAATCTGTTTAAGTGTTTTTGAGAGTTAAATGAATGAAATGAATTATTTATATTTCGCTGTGTATTGATAAGAAAAACTTAGAAAAATAAAGAAAAAGTTCAAAAATATGGCTAAGTATAGAAACGGACTTAGAGAATGTAGTGGAACACAGCCACGGTACGGTTTACCGGGTTGGATTACTACATGACCCTTCTGCAAAAATCTGCTCTCCGAATGGATCTGTTCTCCAAGCTGCATAAGTAAAGATCACTTAGTGAGATCAGTGTGTTCTTGGATTTCAAGGTTTCTCTGGGAAGAAAACAAGAACCTGTAGTGACAATAGCTGATCTAAAGGCAGCAGGAGACCAATCAGGATGCATAGCTTTGAGAAGTGCAACAACTCCTGAGATAACTGGAGCTGACATCGACGTTCCCGAAAGAATATCAAATCCACCAGCATCGGAACTGGAATCTGGAGATGTAGCAGCTAATATGCTCACTCCAGGTGCCCCTATGTCAGGCTGCATCGCCAGAAAAAATGTAGGTTTTCTTGTGATGCTTATGGGTAAGTGATTATGGATTTGGGATTACCTTTAAAATTGCTGGAGAAATCGAGTTAGGTCCTCTTGATGAGAAGGTTGCCACCTTTGTTCCAACAGGTTGTCCTACGAATGTTCTTGAAGTTTGTATCTTCACAACAGGTGATCTGCAAAACCAAAAAGATTCAGAAAGTTGCGTACTTTTATAGTTTTTTACAATTCTTAGTTTCATACCGAGTGGAGCGTATGTAGAGAAGTACATCGGTCCCGAGCTCGTAATCAATGGCTACACATGGGAAATCATCTCTACATGCAGTGAGCTTGTAACCTGGATTTCTCGCGATGGTCACGCCAAGACCACCTGCTGCCTTCACATAAGAGGCAGCGCTTGACACAGCAGTGGAAAGTGTAGTTGTTGTGAAACACAACACGACTTTCCCTGACATTGTACGGTTTGGGTTGAGATTAAGCTGCTCACAGACACTGCAAAATGTTACATAACATATTCACATAACTGACATAAACATAATTGTTGAGATCATTTCATTGAGTGTTACCCAGTAAAGGTCTCATTGCTGTTCCCTGGACTCTCTGGATAAACTATACTAGTGTAGCCAAGCTCTGGACCTGTGTACAGTGCTTGTCCCTGCATTAACAATTGAAAAAAAAACTCAAAATCAGATAGTTTCAAGATTTTGATTAGAAAAAAAAAACAGAGGAAAACAAACAGCTACTCTATTTTACCAGTATGACGTTGTTGTTCCCAAGTGTAATAGGTGTGGCAAAGGACCGGTCTAAAGTGGTTGCAGCAACTGTTAAGACCCAAGGAGCCGTGTTAAACACGGTCTGAGCCGCTGGGCCAGCGTTCCCACCTGCACAGACAACTATGATACCCTTTGCTACTGCATGGAACGCTCCAGTAGCAATCTTATCACGCAGATCAGCGAGAGAGAGCGACAGAACATCAACACCATCATGCATAGCTTCATCCATTGCTTTCAAGATCTCAGAAGATGAGCAAACCACTGTACCTAGCCTTTCCAGATACCAACAAGCCTTGTATATGGCTATGCGAGCACGAGGCGCGCCACCTCTCAAGGCTCCTCCAGCGAGTCCCTTGTAGCTTACGTTAGGAACAAACGAACCACCTGCAATGGAAGCTACATGCGTGCCGTGGCCAATAAAGTCTCTAGCGGAAACGTAGTCAGGTGATTCTGTGGAGTTGAATCCTTCGTTTTCAGCAAGAAAGCCGTTGATGAAGTACTTGGCTCCTATGAGCTTTCTGTTGCAGTTTGTTGATGTGAAGCTTTCTCCTGGTTCACACCCTCCTTTCCAGTGGCTCGGTATTGGTCAAACCCCATTGTCATTAAACGATTCAGACTCTGGCCACACTCCTACAACCACACAAGAACCGGCAAGTCATTGGGACGCTACAAGAAAGGATCCAAAAGAAACTAATGAGAACTACTTATACCCGAGTCAATAAAGCCAATGACAACTTGGTCACCCATGTTTGTATCATTTAGGAGATTGTTCGGATTGGCAAAAGCAAGACCTACGTAGTCCCAAGTCCGAGTTGTTGCAAGTTCGTAGAAACTATCCGGTATGACATGAACAACTTCAGGTGAATCTGTTTCCCAAAAAAACAGTAGCTTGCTTAGACAACCAAACTAATTTTAGATTGAATCATCAAAATGCTAATAGCAGAGAGCCAGTGAGTACCAGCGAGTTTCTTGGCTTGTGACTCGGTAAGCTTGGCAGCGAAGCCTGAAAAGCCATGTTTGTAACTGTGCACCATGGAACCATGTGCTTCCTCTTTACTGTGACACAAAGAAAAAACCTTTTGGTAACAGCTTGAGACATACAATGGAGTTGAATACTAAATCTGAGTAGCATTTATTTTTGTACCTTCCAAGAAGTGAAGATAACATCTGGTGATGAGATTCTGTGACAAGCTCAGGATCGTCATGCTGCTTCTCACCCAAATACACTATATGAACCTATTTGATTATCATCAAAACACAACCAAAACTTTGTAATAACATTCTTTTAGTATCTCTTCTTTGCTGTCTTGATCAAAGAAAATTAACTTACCTTGCTCTCAGCATCAGCTCGTGCGACATTCAAAACAATTATCAGACTTAACACCAAGAGAAGTGATGAGCTGTAATTCATCATAACAAACGAAAAAGAGTGATTCATTAATTTTTTCAATCTAATTATAAATTTATTTGAGGAAACAAAGAGCTTTTATCTAGGCTATAGAAATAGTTGCCTTATCCTCCAAGAATGTTTTATAAGTCACACAGAAAACAGTGTTACGTACTTTATTTCAGTCACTTCTTGAAGACTTATGAAAAGATAAACACATTTTAAAGAAAATTCAAGAAACTGAAAGGTTTTGGTCATACTCAATTATTTCTTGTGTGGCCAACAATGTTTCGTTTTCATGGAATTTTCAACAAATGTGAACAAAATAGTAGCAATGTTTAGATTGACAACAAAGGAAATGAGATCAATATACTAACTGTACCGTTTAGGAACATAATTATTATAATTGGATAGAATGATAATTTATACAAAAAATTACTTAAAATAAATTAATAAACATAATATAAAATAATATCGATTAAATAAAAATTTAGAAAAACGGATTGCAGAGTTGAGACATGGTGATATTTTTCCTTAATTCTGTAAATGTTTTGTAGCATGACGGTTGCATGGTGTACCGAATCCCTCGATATAACTGTATTGTTTTTAGGATTCTCATCACCTTTAATACATAAGTTTTCGAATATTTTCTGTGTTGTACACTCATAAAAAAGAAAGAAAAAAATCTAGAAAAAATGTGAAGAATTGCATATGTGTGTGCTTGAGAATTAGGACTTTCAAATTATATAATATATAAAAGTTGAAAGCGTCCACATGGGATTTAAAAACTCGATCTCATTGGTCTACATCGGCATATTCATTAAATAAAAAATTTAAGTATGATTAGGACGAAAAACTTGATTTAATTGGTCCACATCAGCTTTTAAATCATACCAAAAATTATTAAGTATAATTAAAACATTAAAAGTTAATTTAACAAATTATGTCCAACAAAAAAAGTAAATTCAATCTGATTGATCCAAATCAACATATTTATTAAATCAGAAAATATTAATCTGGTTTAAAATTTAAAAGGTAAATAAAAAATTAACAATTAACAATACATGTATAAAAAACAGTAACCATTATCAATTATCAATTTAAAAAAAAATCTACAACAACTCGATTTAACAATTAAAACAATGAAAACTGAATAAAAATATAACATAAAACTCTTGGAAGACATGATGGAGAAGGAAAAAATAGTTTTGCATGATCATTACAGCTTCCTAACAAAATTAAATGTGAATCAACATGAATCATGAATTATATATACAGTGGTACACAACATCAATAAGACTTTCAATAAAAAAACTAAATATTTGAACACATAAACCTTCAAGAAAAAAAGAACTATAAAAATTCTATGGAAAACATAAAATAATACCAAAATTTTAGCAAGATTATATTTCTCTAAATCAAATGTATATGTATGTCAAAGTTGGATAATTCGATAGGTGTCATTGTTATTATTTTACCTAATAATTTTTAAAAACAATTAAATAAAAATAGGATAAATTACACATTATATATTAGATTCTCTTATATAAATGAAAATTTCTATAAATATATATAATTTTTAATGATTTTAAAGATAGTATCTAAAAAAATAAACCAAAATATTAATACAGACTCACTGTAACTATAAATTAAATTCTTCTAAAAAAATAAGTTTTTTGCAATATCAAACACTACGTGCAACTTCAATTTATGCTACTAATTATAGATCTAACAGAAGATATCAATATCCCAAAACGTCAAAGGAGGAATAAATCTTCTACATATGCCTCTTCAAAGTTCCTTCTAATTAAAATTTGTGCTGGTTTGGATTCTGGTTAAAAAAACAATATGCATGTGTGATGTTAGTTTATATTTTGTAATACCACTTTACAAAGTTTATACAGCCTAAAATGAAAATGTTTTTAGGAAATATCATTGTTTTCCTTCTTCTGCGTTTGCGTTTGCATTTATAGCAGGTTATTAATATATTGTTGAATTGTTAATATTATTATAACTTATTTATAGAAAGTGATAGAGAAAAATGTAAAAATAGAAATCGTTACAAAATACCTATATTTTGGGGAAAAAGTACATTTCTCAAAAAATATTAAAAAATTGTAAATATATTTTAATAATTAAATGGTATCCAGATGGTGCAGAATATGAGCAAAGCTCTCTTAGTGAAGTTGGGATACAAGGTTTATGCATGATCAAACAAATCTCTCGACAAGAGTGGTAAAATGTAAGTATAAAGTTAAGGATGTGCAAGATGATTCATAGATCATAGTTAAAAATAATTGGTCTTTGATTTGGTAGAGTGTGAGAACAAATACAAAATGTATTATTTCAGGGACTGACTTGGGTTATTGGTGATTAGATTTTGGAAGGATACATGGGTATAAATAAGCCATTATTGGAAACGGTAATGGAAGAGATCCCAAAGAAGGTGGTGAATGTAGGTGTTCAGGACTAGTGGAGAAATGGTACTGGTTGGGTGTTGTCCCAAATCACGCTATATTCAGCTCACACTATGTGGAAACTAGGGGCATTGGTTTTGAATGATGTTACTGGAGTGAAGGACAGGTTGTCCTGGGAAGAAAATCAAAATAGAGAGTTTACTGTAAATTCGTTCTTCACTAGAGATAACGCGCCACAACAAGACATGACAAAGCTCTTTCATTGGATTTGGAAAGTCATCGCACCTGAACGTTTGAGGGTGTTTTTGTGGCTGGTAATAAATCAAGTCATCATGACTAAAGTGAAAAGACAGAGAAGACACCTCATAGATACAAGTATTTGACAGGTCTGCAAAAAGAGTGAAAAATCTATTCTCCACATACTTAGAGATTGCCCGGCTATATCAGAAATCTGGTACATGATTGTTTTTTTAGGCAAATAGAGACTATTTTTTTTATCTCTCTTTACTTGAATGAATTTATAGCAATTTGGAGCTATTGGTGCTAAAGAGTGTAGCCTATCGTCTACATTATTTTCGATGGTTGTATAGTAGAAATGGAAATGGAGATGTGGTAACATGTTTGATGTTAATAAAAAATATCGTGACAGGGTAAGATTTCTAAGGAAGTAGCGCTTGCACACTTGAGTGTAAGGGGAAGTGGGAATGTGATTGGGAGAGAGGAACAATTAATATTGTGGATACCGCCAGGTGATGGCTGGATGAAGATAAATATTGATGGAGCATCACATGAGAACCTCGGACCTGCAATTGCTGGTGGAGTTTTGCGGGATGAAGGTGGTAATTGGCGTGAAGTATTTGTTCTGAATATTAACATATGTTCAGCACCATTGACGGAGTCATAGGACATTTATTATGGTTTGTTTATAGTTCAAGAACATTGAGTTGTATGTCTCGAACTAAAGTTAGACTCAGATATATTTATGAAGTTCGTAACGATAAGGATCAATGATTGTCATCTGCTATCTTTCCTAGTATGTTTGTACTATAACTTCTTGTTAAAGAATTAGATAATCAAGATTACTCACATATATAGAAAGGCTAACCATCTAGCAGATGAGTTAGTTAATCATGCTTTTACTTTACTTTTCGATTTTTATTTTTGTAGTGTTGCATCGAATAACATTGTTTCAACTATGTCGGAAGATGTAAATGGAATAGCATGACCTCGCCATGTCCAATTGTAGGTGTTGGCTGTTTAAATAAAATATGGGGGACTCTTTCCCCTGATTCGTACCCAAAATAATAATTAAATGGCTACAATGGGAATCTCATTACTGATTATTGGTAAAAGGCCGATAAAAGCTTTGTTAATGAAAAAGCATGAGAAATATCGGTAAGTTTTGTTTGTAGGCCCCAAAAGGCTGTCTCTTCATTGCATGGTTAGACTAGCTTTAATAACGAGATTTCTATGCTTCGTGATTGGTAACCTAAATTATGTTTGATGTGTTGAATTGATTATACAAGAGCTACTAAAAGGGATTTTGATTAAAGAGTTAATTGGGTTTTCATAAATGTGCTTTCTCATGTGTGTTGTTTTGCTTCATCTTTCGGTTCTGAGTTTTAAATATAATGATTTTAGACGATACAAATCACAATACCACTATTATGAGAATTTTCAATGAATACTACTTTCTATAGTACCATGAAAATCCTACTAAGATTCTTTTCATAATCAGGACAAGAAATACATAACACGCCGTTACAGGTTGCCGTTGGAAATTTAACCTTGTATAATTAAAGATTATTTTAAAATTTAATAAAATGATGTTTTCCTTTGAAAAAGAGGAAAAAAAGAAGTTCAGGAACAAATTGGTAAAATATTAATATCCATCCACTCTCTGTCTCTCTCTTCCACGTCTAACGGCTCTCTTTTGGCAAGTATTAGAAATTTTCAAATGTCACCTCTCTTTTAACAAATAAAGTTAATTTTGTTTCACCCCAAAGTTCTCTAAAGTTCTTTATCTAGTCCACAATTCCGTGCCCAACTATTTCTGATTGACCTTATCTGTAAATATAGAAAGTATTTAGCCATATTAGGATATTAATGAACTAAAGGGACATGTATCTGTCACTAATACCATTTTTAAAATGGGTTTTCTCAGAATTTGAAGTTTTGAATTTTGTGCTTCCGTCTTATTATCCTTTTTTCTCTAAAAAAAACTTCAAAATCTCTCAAATTCTGATTTCGCTACCAATTTCAGTTTCTTCGTTTTCCTTCGGCAAATGGGTTGCTGTTTCAGCAAGAAGACTTCTCCAGCTTCTTCTTCTACCGATGGAAGATCTTGTTCTGCAAAGTCACCAGATCCGAGCAAATCCGCCATTGATAAATCCCTGAAACTCGAGACTGGAGCTCAAGAGAAGCTCGAATTAGAAGAATCGAAACCAAGGGATGAAGTCAAACAAGAAGCAGAGCTACAAGAGAATGGCAAAACGAGGAAAGAGGTGTTCGTGATAAAACACCGGAGGAGCCATGAGAGATCCAAGACGACAGATCCGGAGGATTCCACGGTTTCCGATGAGAAATCAACCGGTTCGAATCAAAATCCGGTGGATGTGGATGCAATACTGATTCAGTGCGGGAGGCTGAGCCGGAGCAACTCCGCCGCCGCGAAAACGAGGAGGTATTCTGGATCTAAGAGGAGCTTTGATTTTGATCAGAACGAGAGGAGTCGCGACGGTGACGCGGAGGAGGCGGATGCGGAAGACGGCGGAGAAGAAGAAGAAGCCGAGCGGCGTATTCATCGGCAGCGTCAACGTGGTGGAGATTCGCCTCGGGAGCGGAGGAGACGAACGCCGAGCAGAGAGAGAGGGGATTCCAAGAATAATCGATCGGGAAGTAGAGAGAGAGGAAGTGGGAGTAGAAGAGTAAGCAGATCTCCGGGAAGAAGATCGGAAACAAACCCTAACTCCTGCGCCGGCAGTGGCAGTTCTGTGAATTCGAGTAACAATAGGCCAGCGAAATTTGTCTCGGTTCCTGCAACGGTGGACAAGAGCAACAGTGGAGAGCCATCTATCAAACGGATTACAGTGAAGAGAAACGTCGGAAAAGCGGCGTCTCCTAGGTCACAGTCTCCGGCAAGAGCGGCGTCTCCGAGGTCACAGTCACCTGCAAGAGCGGCGGCTAACACCAGTAGCTATGCTCAGCCTTCGCCGTCAAAGCTCAGCCGGAAAACGGAGCATTCTCCGTACAGGAGGAACCCATTGGGAGAGATAAACCCAAACACATTAGCGTATCCACAACCTCAAGGGGATAATAAATTGGGATCTGGTAACAACAAGAGGATGATGAACACAGAAAATGAAAGTCAAGGATTGATTAAAGAATCTACAAATCTCGTGGGTCAGGTATGAAATTCTACTTAACTAGATCGTGATGAATCCAGTCAAGTGTTTGATATTATTGGAATAAATGTTTCTATTCGTGGATCGATTAAAGAATGAATATTGAAAATCAATGATTGATTTTACAAAACTTCAAATTTCGTGGGTCAGCTATGAATTCTTGATTGGTAATGTTGGAGTGAATGTTTCTGTTTCAGAAGATGAATCATGGAACGAATACTAAAACCGCTACTCAGCTTCAAATCCGCAGAAGCGCAAGTCCGAGTCGTGTGAACAAAGAGGCAGTGGAAGAGTGTAAGATAATGTTTTCGTCATCTGGAACTGAAGTACCTAAGCCTCAAATCGTGAGCAGGAGCAGATCATTGAGGAAGTCCCGTGATTTCGATTTCAGTCCCGAAGCATTGCTCTCAAACAACATCGACAACAACAACAACAATGCGGTAGTACCATCTTACACAGCTTTGCTTCTAGAAGACATTCAGAATTTCCACCAGAAGAGTACCATAAGTTCCAAGGTTTGCTCCATCGTTGAAGATCTTAACTCCAGTACGAAACAACAGCAAAGAACCGAGTTTAACAGTCTCAAATTCGCAGCGGTGAAGAAAGCGGATCTAATGGAGCCAAGCTTTGAGAAGTATGTGACTGTTAAGAGAGGCGGTTCTTCGTTGGAGGACATGGAAGAGCAAGAATCTTCAGGAAGCAACAGTATCACGGGAAGTAGCTGTGTGGTGCAGCGGCATGGGTACAACTCATCGTCTTCTTCATGGGAGCCAAATTCAGCTGAATCGACTGATCGAGTTACTGTGAGATCAAAGAAACAAGAACGTGATCGGAGTCCACTTGGTGTGATAAATACTGAGAAACAAGTGTTTGATCCGTTAAAGAAGAATGGTGTTGGAGCTGGACGTAATAGAGTGGCTCTTGTTGATTCTTCGTCTTCTTCAGCCAAACAGACAACAACAACTCGTGTTGCTGCAGTTTCAATGTAATAAAGTTTATTCCTTTGTTTACTGTACTTTTCAAATGTTGCAGATAAGCAAACTGATGTTTGGTTTCTTTTGTAATCATTTGATCATTTCAAATCAATATCGTTTAAAATTTCAGACTAACCACAAAAAATCAAGATTCTGCACAGTTTCAGATTATACGAACTCGTAAGAGCACCTTCATTGGTGTTTTTTTATGAAGTTCTTAAGAGTTTGGTAAGATAAAAAGAATTAAAAAATAATTGAATAATGTCTGAAAGGTAGTAAGAAGAATTATTAAGAACCTGAGGCTCCTATTAAGATTTGTGGTATTGATTTATGATGATACATAAATTTCTAAAAAATGATTTTTCTTGTTTTTTTCTCCTTTCTTTTTCTATTGGAGTATTAAAAATTTGATTTCGTTTGATGACCAAAATTCTTTTGTTGTAGAATCTGTTGCTTATTTTTTGTGTAGGGTCTATTGCTTATCTCGTGATTAAGAGATGGAGATAGAGATTGATAGCTAATCAGAGATGCTTATGAATTGTGAATGTATGTTGCTTATCTTGTGATTAAGAGATGGAGATAGAGATTGATAGCTAATCAAAGATCTTTATAAATTGTGAATGTTCTGTTTGTATTATTCCATAGAGTATTACATTTATACAGTATTAATAAAGTATTTACAGAAGCTAAATATTTATACATTGAATGGTGATTTGATTCGATCATATCATCGTTGCTGTAATCGTGGATCCTAATACGCCCCCTCAAGATGGAAGGGCTTGCGTAACTTTAATCATGTCTCGAAGTAGAGTGAATGATCTACGACTGAGTGGCTTTGTGAGTGTGTCCACCAGTTGATCTTTGGTGGATACGTGGGACACTCGTAGCTGTTCCGTCTGCACTTGTTCCCGAATGAAGTGATACGCCAAAGCCACATGTTTCATGCGAGTGAAAGATTGGGTTTGTGGAAAGATATGTTGCCCCTATATTGTCGCAGTATATAGCAGGTGTTGTGACAACAGGAATGTGAAGCTCAGTTAATAGAGATCGTACCCAGTTTATTTCTGATGCGGTGTTTGTGATAGTTATATACTCTGCTTCAGTTGATGATATTGCTACACCTTTTTGCTTCTTGGAGCTCCATGAAATCGCTTGATCACCCAGATATACAATATATGCATTTGTGGAAGTGAAATCATCAGAGTTGCCAGCCCAGTCGGCATCAGAGAAGGCGTGAAGGTTTAGGTTCGGGTCACGACTAATGAAAAGCCCATGTGTCGTTGTGCCTGCTAGGTACCGTAGAACCCTCTTTGCAGCTTGCCAGTGCTCCACTGTTGGTTTACGCATAAATTGGGATAGCTTATTGACAGCAAAGGCTATGTCCGGCCGTGTGAATGCCAAATGCTGAAGGCTACCAACGAGAGAGCGGAACTCTGTTGGATTAGTGTGAGGTTCATTCGAGAGAACAAGCTTTGGGGATGTTGCCATCAGAGTGTTGACTAGTTTGGTGTCCATCATGTTCATCTTTTTTAGTACATCGTGGATGTATTTACGTCGATTGAGATGCAGACCAGTTGTCGTTCGAGTCACTTCGATGCCCAAAAAATACGAGAGAGCCCCCATGTCTTTGACAGAAAAACGATAAGCCAGATTTGCAAAAGTTTTCTCAACCGCAGCAGTGTTATTCCCCATGACTACAATGTCATCGACATACACCAGAAGATAAATCCAAGTGGTACCTTGATTGAGTACAAATAGTGAGGTGTCGGAGCCAGAGTTCTTGAATCCGAGTTGTAGAAGGTATTGCTTCAGTTCTAGATACCAGGCGCGCGGTGCTTGTTTAAGCCCGTAGAGTGCTTTATTGAGTTTGCATAAGTGTAGAGGTTTGTCCGGATCCACAAATCCCGGGGTTGATGAAACAAACACTTCTTCTTTGAGGGTGCCTTGCAAAAACGCATTGTTTACATCGATTTGACGAAGCGACCAATCTCTGCTCACTGCAACTTTTAGTATGGTGCGAATGGTGGTTGATTTTATCACCGGACTGAAAGTTTCCTGGTAGTCGATGCCTGCTTGTTGATTGAATCCCCTGGCGACGAGTCTCGCTTTGTATTTGTCGAGGCTGCCATCAGGTAGTTGTTTGACTTGAAATATCCATTTGCAGCCGACGATGTTGTAGTGAGGAGAGGGCGGTACCAGATTCCACGCTCGATGTCGAAGTTGAGAATCGAATTCTGATGACATCGCACCACGCCAGTATTCGGATTTGAGAGCTTGGGTGAGGTTTCAGGATTTTGTTTCAATGGTGGAGGAGGCGATGGTAGTGGCGAGTGCTCGTTTTCGTTTAGATGATTTTGGGTTTGGTTGGGTTGTGTATTTTGGGTTGGGCTTGAAGATTTCATGTTTGACTCGGGTTGCCATATTGTGTTGGTTATTGGGTATTGTTGGTTCGGGTAGATTATTTGGTGGTTGTATAGGGTTTGTTTGTTGGGCCTGGGCCTCAGTTTGGTGTGGATTATCAGGTTGGGTATTTGTGGTTGGTGGCGAAGATTCGTCGGGGGTGTGCGATGAGTGATTAGGCGGCTGCGATGGTGGCAATTCTGATGATTGAGAACTGATTGAGTCAGATGACTCGTCGTCTGATGACGCCGTTGATTATGCTATGTTTAGTGAGTTTGCCTGAAGTGACGGTGCAGAGTTTTCAGAGGAGGGATCATCCGACGGTTGCGTTTGTTGCTCCAAGGGCCCCAAGTGTGATGTGATGAGTGGCAGATTTATGGGTATTGAGATGGCTGAGGGTGACCAGGAGGGTAAATTTTTAGTGGCGGGAGGTTGTGAGGGAAGAGGAGAGGGGAAAGGAAATTGGCTTTCGTCAAATTGCATATGTCTTGATGTGTAGATGCGTTTTGTTTTTGGGTCAAGGCAGAGGTAGGCACTTTGAGTTATAGAGTAGCCTAAGAAGACACAGGGGGTAGATCGAGGTTGAAGTTTGTGGGATGTATACAGGCGAAGCCAAGGGAAGCATAAGCAGCCAAATATTTTGAGCTTGGAGTAGTTGGGGTTTATTTGGTAGAGCTTTGTGTATGGATTTTGAAGCGAGATGGTTGGGGAAGGCATGCGGTTGATGAGATAAACCGCCGTTGAGAAGGCGTATGTCCAATAGATTGGAGACATCGAGGCTTTTGTGAGAAGAGTGAGGCCGGTTTCAACAATGTGGCGGTGTCTTCTTTCGGCTAGACCGTTGTGCTCCGGCGTATGTGGAGGTGAGGTGAGGTGTGTGATGCCTTTCGAGAAGTCTCGCATGGCTATGAATTCCCCACCATTGTCTGAGAGTGAGGTACCAATCCTTGTTTCAAACTTGTTTTCAACTAGCGCTGCGAACTTGGTGAATGTATCACGCACTTGAGACTTGAGTTTGAGTGGATAGAACCAGATGTATCTGGAAAAATAATCGACAATGACTAAGTAGTACTTGTACTTGTCGATTGACATAACCGGGGAGGTCCAGACATCAGAGAACAAGTATTGTAAGGGTTTTGTTGAGGAGATAGTAGTTTCCGAGAAAGAGAGTTTGTGACTTTTATTATATAAGCAATCGATGCATGATGGTAAACAAGACATAGAATCAGAAATGGGTAAAGAAGTTTTAGAGATAATAGTTTTGAGAACTGAATGAGAAGGATGGTCTAGGCGTGAATGCCAATCAATGGAAGTGGTTTTGATGTTTGTGGAGGTAGTTGTGAGAGCGGAAGGGGATTGGGATAGTGTAGGCCACTCATACAGCTCATTCTTGGTGCATCCTTGAAGCAATGGGGCCTCCGTTTGAAGATCCCTCACCTGAAAACATGTAGGGTAAAAATGCATCGAAACTTTGTTAGCGTTACACAGCTTGTAGACTGATATCAGATTATTTTGTATTTCAGGTACATAAAGAACATTCGAGAGTTAAAATGGTTTAGTGGTGAAGGGTTAGAGTGCTGAACCCGTATGTGTGATAAGAAGGCTTGCGCCATTTCCAACCATTACTTCTTCTCCACCGGTGTACGGATGATGCAAGGAGAGATTGGCCAAATCAGAGGAGATGTGATGAGTGGCTCCCGATTCGAGAAGCCATGGATTTGGGCTGGCGATGATCCGGTATAATTTTCTCGAGGCTGCCAGTAGCTTTGCTGTGGTGCTGCATTAGTTTGGGAGGCCAGTTGTGGACAACGCCTGGCGCTGTGGCCTTGAGTTCTGCAGAGTTGGCATCTGCCAAGGTAAGGTCTTGGGCTGTTGTTACGTGTGTCCTGTTTGTTGTGATATTGTTGTGGCTGCCATGGTTGATTTGTTTTGAAGATCTGCTTTGGACCTTTGTTGTTGCGGTTGACAAAGTTTGCTGATGCAAGGGCGTGAGTGGAAAGCTGGGATGAAGATAGCAACTTAGACTCATGATTGAGAAGCTTTTCGTGGATCTCAGTGATGGACAGTGACAAGTCTCTGCCTTCAATTTAATCTGTGACTGGTTTGTACTCCTCGGGCAAGCCTTCAAGGATGTAGTCAACCTGATCTTCATGATCTATGGACTTGCCAAGAAGAGTCAAGCGATCGAAGCGAGTGGTGAGTCCTTGTATGTATCCGTCAATGGACTTGGTGTCTTTGGTTCAGTTTTTGAGTTGCTGTTTGAGTTGTTTCAATGCCTTCTATTGGGTTTTGCATAAGTGTCTGCAAGTGTAGACCACACTTCTGCTGCTGTTGAGGATCTAGAAAGGAGTGGCTGGATGGATGTTGATATAGCACCAAGGAGGGCGCTGTATATCAGCTTGTCTTGCCGTTTCCACGTGGTGTGTGCTGGATTTACTGTCGGAGTTCCTGCAATGGTGGTGATTGGGTCAGGTATGACCATAGATCCATCGAGGTAACCTCCAAGGGCATAACCATCGAAGAGTGCATGAACTTGGAGGCTCCACATTAGATAGTTTAAGGAATTGAGCCTAGTAACATTTGACATGTTTAGGTTGATGAGATTGGTGGAGTTTGGAATATTTATAGTTTCCGTGGTGTCTGATGTAGACATTGTTTTTGCTGGAAAAGAAAAGGTGACGAGAGGAAAGGGAGGAAAAAAAAATGAGAGACAGATCTGATTTTTAGATCTCAGA